GCTCCGTAAACTTGAACTTAAAACTTAATAAAAGTAAAAAAAATTTGTCTTGGCAATTAACCGAAATAAAATATGTTCAAGCTAAGAAATAAAAAATAAATTTATTAAAAGTAATATAATTTTTAAAAAATATATTTATAAAAAAAATATTTAAAATAATTAAAATGACAAAACATTTAACAAAATTATGTGAGAAACAAATAAAATAAAATTAAATGAAAATAAAAACAAAAATAAAAGCTGTTTATTAATATTCAAGATACAAATAAATAATGTAATATTATATAAATAATATTAAAATAAATACTTGTACACCAAACAAATTGGCAAAAGTTATACATATTATTTTGTTTTCTTTTTTTAAGAAAGTGATTGTTACAGTAATTTATTTTAATTCATTAAAATGAAGTTAATACTTAAAATAAGTAATGAAATAATATAAAAATTATATAAAATGTAAAATTATATAAATGTAAAAATGACTACAAAAATCATGAGAATAGGTTTTTATATTAATCATATGACAGCAGAAATATTTTTATTTGTCTTTTCAAAGTTTGCCCTGAAACCTGCTCAAGCACTTGTACCTGTGGTTGAGAATTGCTGGTGTAGAAAGAGGTATAAGAGAAAAGAGAATCTGGGAGCGAGAGAGGCAGATTAAGAAAGACAGACAAGGCAGACACACAGTGATGTTCATGAGCAGTACAGCTCCCTCAGGGCTTTAATGTAGTCACTCCTCTTCACTGCCAAGCAGAATCACCCTGGCAGGCTTTAAAAGCTTCATCTGAAGGCTCAGACTGTGGGAGCTGGAAACTCTTGCTGAATATAAACACACACACACACACACACACACACACACACAGACAGCATCAAGAGCAGGAGAGACAGGCACCAGAACTCCCTCAAGAACAGGGAGACATTTTGACAGATAGTCAATGTTAAATTGTTGGTGAAATTGTGTCTCTTGGACAGGTCAAAGGCCTAGATGAGCGTGGCTTCAAACAGCGCAAAAGAAATCTTTTTCAGTGAGCTCCAAATAGAAGTTCCTTACATAGTTTATAAAAAACAGCCTTATTTCAACATTTCATCCACCTCAACTCACCCTCTGCTCTTTAAAGTTTGAAACAGTGTTGAAGAGAAGCTAAAAGTAGCAATAGTAGCGTGACAGTAACTCATGATGTTTTCATAATGGTGTAGCTTTTCCAGTAATGAGCTATGATTTCCAACAAGGAGCATAGTGTAGCATGACAAAACGCTATGTTGCTACATTTATGACATATTGTATTGCACATGCAGCCAAGTAAGCTGATTAGCCTATTAGACAAAAAATGTGCTAATAAACAGCATTCTGCCATCTCTAGCTAAATTAATAGACATTAATGTATTCTGACCACTTCATTCAAAAAAGGCTGCTGCCTTTCCAATTATTTTCCTATAATTATCATTTAAGAGTCTACAATATATAAGTAGGGATGTAACGATTCACTCAACTCACGATTCGATTTGATTCACGATTCGATTCGATTCATGATTTTTTTTTTTACAAAATTAGATTTAAGACAAATTATAAATTAAATGTGTACTTTTATTATTGCTTGAACAAAATACTGTACGCTTCTTTGTGAAATTGAAATATATAATAATATACTAATATAGCACTTGCAAATTATTGCTCTTTTGTTGGTTTTGATTGGTTCTTTTGTCCTCATTTGTTAGTCGCTTTGGATAAAAGCGTTTGCTAAATAACAAAATGTAAATATAATGTAAATGTAAATAACAAAACTAAATTGAAATTTTAAAACAAGCCCCAAATCAAATAAATAAGTAACACAAATAAAAGAAATATCTTCATATAAACAAACTAAGGCTTTGTCTGTGCTCTTTCCATTTAAAATTAGAGACAACCACTGCATTTTAATCATGATCCAAACAAAGATGCTGCATACATGCAACATGAGCAGTTTTTAATCTAAATTAGATTGTATAGTTTCGAAATTTGAAGCAAAAACAGAATGGTTTGACTTCAGTTTTGTGAAACTATGCATAAAAAATATCTGCATGAAACCGAAACAGCAGAGGAGCTGAATGAGATGCAGATTCACTCTCTGCCAGCAGGTGGCGCTTAAAGCGTTTCCTTGGTTTCCGCTGTAAACAAAGCAGCAGCTGCACTTATGAACTTTAATATGCATTATACAGAGGCAAGAGGAAAATAAAAAATACCATCGAAAGACAGTAAGTTCCCCTCAGACATACATTCATATAAACTCCTACCCCTAATTGAATCGCGATTTGTTTAGCATCTCAACCGATTTGAATCGTCACATATTCAAATCGATTTTCAACCGACTCGCGGTTAATCGTTACATCCCAATATATAAGTGTAGAAAAAGTAGGAAAAATAAATAAAATAAAAGTGATGGGAAAAACGCTACATGAATTTTTAATTAAGAAATGCATATGCGGCCAAATATTTACACAATATGACTATCAAAAATACAATTGCTATATTTTTTATAGCTGGAAATATTAAGTTGTAAGTAATATATATAGTAAGTAAAAAAATATAATAATTTTAAATAATACATTAGTATAATATTTTGAATTCATATATTTAAAATTGCAAAACATTTTTTTGTTTTGTTTTTGATAATTTCTCAGATATTGTGGACAAAAAAGATTATTCTTTTCATTGAATTGACTTTTTTCAAACTCGCTTTCCAACACCTTCTCTAATATTGTTGAAAAAAATCTGGTTCTTTTTACTGAATTGCTTTGGATGCTTTTGATTTGGATCATTTGGTCAAACAAACAACATACTTTGATAGTGATATGTTTCAAAAGTTATCAGACCTATTAAATTGATTCTATATAATGTATTTTTGCTAGGAGCATAGCATCGACATTCCCCTGCCTTGTAAATGCTATTGCAGAATATTAAAATACATATTACTGAGAGGCTTATGCAAACTTACAATAAAAAGGACAGTTACAAAACTAATATTTATGTAATGCCCTTCTTGATTCCATATGCGGTCCATGGAAACATCTACTAAACCAAAACTGACAGGGAACAAGCACTTCTGTTATGCTGCAATTATATTCTCTTCCAACAGTCAAATTGGTTAAGGAGTCAGTGTACAGTTACAGGCCATTAACATGCACACAAAAAAAGGTGACGCAGGGTAGTGGTCTAGTTATGCATTTTTTAAAAGTTGAACTTATTTTAAGCACTATGTTTTAGAATGCTGTGTCATTTGTGATTTCTTGAACTGAACGTGTGCGATACCTGTGAGTTGTCCTAGCCGCGCTTCGCCACTGTGCTTCTTATCCAGTGTGCGACGGCTTTTACACTGCTGATAAATATGGAAAATAGTGTATGTGCATGAAAGAGAAAGTGTAGTAAAGCTGGACAGATGTTACGCAACATTTGGACGCCTCTGGGATTTCCTAGGGCATGTGAAGGCAAGCCTGAATGAATTTGGTGGACTAGTGAGAGTGAAAACTGCTCCATGAACCGCGATGACCTGATTTTTCCACCTCGCGTCTGTGCCATTTCTGCACCGGGGCATTATTATGGATAATGTTACATGCTGTGGGATAAAAATATAAGCTTATTACAAAATATAGAAGGGACGGAATTAATACATATATACATCAAAAACTTACAGAACATGCTGTGTTGACAGACTTTATCTGAGCCACGGTTTCATGAGTCTTAGGTTGCAGAAGATAGCGTGTTCTCCAGATTATCTCTTCACGGGTCTCTGATAACTAAAAGCCCTTCTCTCACTTTTACTGCTGGCTGTGGGAAATGATAATCAGCGATAGCTCATCTTACTATAGGTGTCCACAATCGTTTCCCCTCTCTTAAAAGCTTTTTTTATCAGTTATCTGTATAAATCAAGGCTGGATTTCGAACAGGACAATCATCAAATATTTAATAATGTATTTCTGGAAAGTGTAATGGCAGAATGGCCAAATTTTGGCCAGTGCATTGCAAGTGTGCTTTCCCATTGTAAATACTTAATGTGTTATTGTATTTCTTTAGAGTAACAAACCCTACAAACCCTGCATTACCTACAAATGCCTATGCCATAATACCAGATGTGTTATTATTAAAAGGTTAGTTCACATAAAAAATTAAATTCTGTCATTAATTACTTACTCACATGTCGTTCCAAACCTGTAAGACCTTTGTTTATCTTCCGAACACATAATAAGGTATTTTTGATGAAATCTGAGAGCTTTCTGACCCTCCAGAGACAGCAACACAACTGACATGTTTAAGGCTCAGAAAGGTAGTTAGGACATTGTTAAAATAATCAATTTGGCATCAGTGGTTCAACCTTAAATTTATGAAGCTACGAGAATACTATTTGTACACAAAGTAAACAAAAATAACAACTTTATTCAACAATTTCTTCTCTTCCATGTCAAACAAGACAGTTTATGCTAATGTGTGCTATAGCGCCCCTTGTGGCAATGGTGAGAATGCACTACGTACTTTGGAATGACATGAGAGTACACATATTGTGCTTATTTTATTTTTTATTAATGTTTTTAACAATTTCATTATTGTGCAAAGAAAAAGAAGAGAAAATTCTCTCATCATTTACCCTCATGTCGTTCCAAACCTGTAAGACTTCATCTTTGGAACACAAAGGAAGATATTTTTGAATGAAATCTAAGAAATTTCTGTCCCTCCATTGACAGTCTATGCAACTACCTCTTTGACACTTCAAAAAGTTCATAAAGAGATTATAAAACTAATCCATATGAATTGAGCTTAATCATTTTATACGACTTACAGTATATGTTGAACACTTGGCCACTTCATGAATTTTCTTTGATCGGATCCAATCTTAAAATGAACAGGTGTAAATGCTGGATTGGATTGCAATCAAATCACACAAACCACTGCACAAGGTGGACACTGCACATTTTTTGATGATTAATTTGCCTCTTAATATTTTAACTTCACTGTAATTCTCTTTCCACAGTTTAGCCCTGCATCCAGAGCGAGTGCTGGTGGCCACAGGACAGGTTGGAAAGGAGCCGTATATTTGTGTTTGGGACTCGTATACTGTGCAGACAGTGTCCATATTGAAGGACATGCACACACACGGTATCGCCTGTCTCGCCTTCGACCTTGATGGACAGGTAAATGTTCTGAGAAATAACATACTGCAGTAAGAAAGATTTCTCTTTATGCCAAGGAGCTGACATTGTTAAGAACTCGTAAGTTTCATCTCTCAGTATGAGGTGCTGTAAGGTGCTGTGAAGTTTATTATTAGTTGTTGAAGTCACATCTGCGAACACACCAACGGTGTGACTCCCACAGTGTGACAGTATGTGTCAGACTGTATAACTGTGTGTCTGCCAGAGCTGCTGGTTGTCACCTAGACAGAAACAACACACAAAATCCTCAGTGATAATATCAACTGATGAACTCAAGAACATAAAGCAGCATTATAAGGGTTTAGAAGATAATGGCTTTAGAAACTTACATCATATACTGATATGTTCTTGCTGTATTTTCTGGATGACTACACTTCAACAATCATTTTATACGACTTACAGTATATGTTGAACACTTGGCCACTTCATGAATTTTCTTTGATCGGATCCAATCTTAAAATGAACAGGTGTAAATGCTGGATTGGATTGCAATCAAATCACACAAACCACTGCACAAGGTGGACACTGCACATTTTTTGATGATTAATTTGCCTCTTAATATTTTAACTTCACTGTAATTCTCTTTCCACAGTTTAGCCCTGCATCCAGAGCGAGTGCTGGTGGCCACAGGACAGGTTGGAAAGGAGCCGTATATTTGTGTTTGGGACTCGTATACTGTGCAGACAGTGTCCATATTGAAGGACATGCACACACACGGTATCGCCTGTCTCGCCTTCGACCTTGATGGACAGGTAAATGTTCTGAGAAATAACATACTGCAGTAAGAAAGATTTCTCTTTATGCCAAGGAGCTGACATTGTTAAGAACTCGTAAGTTTCATCTCTCAGTATGAGGTGCTGTAAGGTGCTGTGAAGTTTATTATTAGTTGTTGAAGTCACATCTGCGAACACACCAACGGTGTGACTCCCACAGTGTGACAGTATGTGTCAGACTGTATAACTGTGTGTCTGCCAGAGCTGCTGGTTGTCACCTAGACAGAAACAACACACAAAATCCTCAGTGATAATATCAACTGATGAACTCAAGAACATAAAGCAGCATTAAGGGTTTAGAAGATAATGGCTTTAGAAACTTACATCATATACTGATATGTTCTTGCTGCATTTTCTGGATGACTACACTTCAACATTGTTCAGTAAAACTGTGGAACTTTAATTTTCAGAGCTTTTTGAAAAAACCTTTGATGCTGCACTTAGTAAGAACTGCCCCATGTCGACTAAGTTAAGCAGTGTTTTAAAGCTCATGATACTACAGTTAGTTGCAGTCCTTGAACCTGATTGGTCAAACAGCATTCCAAGAGTGCTGATACATCAGTCCCACAGCACTGAGACTTTCACTGTTGTATCTGTATTTGCACATTTCAGGAATTGAATCTTTCATTCAGTTGATTTAAAAATGCAAGTAACTGTCTTTGTGAGTGAGTCATTTAATTATTCACTCAATCGGTTAGCACAAAAATACAGAAGTGTCTGTCTTTATAGATGAGTTATTGAATCATTCTCTCAATTCATTCAAAAATGCTGGTTCTTTGAATCATTTAGTCTTTGAATCATTTACTCAACCGATTTGTTCAAAAACACTGAAACATTCAGGAATGAAACAACACTGCTGTGTGTTGAAATGGTTCTGCGGTCTCTTTCTTTGGATCTATTTGCTTTGACAGAACACACAATCGTGCTGCCTCCTTTTTAGGGCTCCAGCCTATGACTGAATGGTTGGTTGAGCATTTTTCTGCCGGTGGGACTGAATTTTGTTAAAGGTCACACTAGTGCCAAGTTGCCCTAATCTCTATGATTATGCACTGCTATTATTTTTGCGAATGAAAAAAATCAAATGGCAAACAAAAACAGAATGAAGCAGCATTATTCATTTGAATCCAAGTGGGCTTTTTTCAGCGTCCCTACTGAATCACACCCACACTTTTTCCTTAAACAGGTTACAAACATATAGTGCAACAGACTATATAACACACACACACACACACACACACAGTTATCCTGTAACTGTAACCAGTCAGATTTAGTCAGAAATGTGGTATATTCATTTTTAATGTTATTGTACCATTCAAATGTGCATTTTCACGAGTAATATTATCAGTAATTATACTTATTCACAGTAGTAATGTTATTATTAAAATTATTTTCTGGCAAGTAGTTAGTGTTATATTAGCAGCATGGACCTCAACCAGCCTTATTTGATCAAAAACACGAATATCATACTGTGTAGACAGGTGTTAGTGTGTAATGCATTCAGTGTAAATGTGATATTGAATTCGTAACATTGCACAATAAAAGGCTAAAGTGGATGAGAGTTGGGAACAGTGTCAATTTATCAAAAGCACTCCAACTCACTAGAGGAGATGATAAGAGGTATGGAATGAAAAATTGTACCTCTGAGATTGACATTTCACATTTCTATGCTCACCCTCACTTTATCTGAGAGAATTCACCCCTCACCTCCCCCCAGCGGAGAAAGTGATTTGCAGAGTTTCAGCAGGAAATTGGCCTCATCATTTATTTCACACTGACGGATGAAACGGCAAAGAGAGGAACGGCGAGACGCTGCCTCAAAGACCCAGGGGTGTCTAAAGCAACACTTTTCTTCTCAAATTCATCAAAGGTTTAGCATCCCATAATTGACCGAAGGCAGTCCGTTTTAGCCTCAGCCAGCGTGGTGAAACCTCAGAAGAAAACCGGTGATCAGGTTTGATGGGACGGAGGTGGAAAACAGCAAACTCACATCAAAGGGATGCTGAACTAATGAGGTCCCCTCAGCAAACATTTGCGATGACTACAGATGATTTGTGCACAGTTTGAGAGAAAAATGAGGTTTTGAGAAGCTTCTGGCATTTTAGTTCCAGTGGCTGGAAATATATAGATGGTAGCAGATTCATGTTTTACAATGTTAAAGGCCATTCAAGAGTGATAACTATAACAATAACTATATTAACGGCCACACCTATGCACAATAATGAAATAATAGCTTTAAATGCTTAATCTCTTCAGAGTCGGGATGGATTCTGAAAAAATATGTAATTATGTTACAGTTACATATGACAATGTTAACGATTGCAAAGGGGGGTTACATCTGAATATTTTCACACACACATACAGATTTGATTGATTTCTTTCCAAAATGGCATTGTCTGCAAAAAAAAAAAAAGAGACTCCAGTGTTTCTGGAGTTTAGGGCACAGAATAGGACACATGTTTATTTAATAACTGTTTTATTTCTTATTTGGGTTCATGTATATGCTTTATTTTTTAAATTAACCATTCCCCCCCAAGGCATTGTTAGATGCCAGTGTTTCCTGTCATAGCTATGCAAAAATTTGATTTCAAAAATAGTATTACAGCTATTAAACTATTTCTTGTTATGGTTTTAAATCTGTATTTAACCTCAGAACGATTTCAAAGTAAAAAGAGGTGCTGAAGTCTGATGTTGTGGTGGCTGTGATTTAAAATTAAATTATTATAATCTTAATTCAAGTGATGACGGACTTTGATTTTCAGTGTTGAGTACTACTGTAAGGTTAACCCTGCCTGGTTTAAATGTCTGAAAAATTTTGAGAAAAAACACATACATTAATAAAGTAACTGAAATAGTTATACTACTTACAGTATTACATTTTAAATAGGGTAAATATATATATGTGACCCTGGACCACAAAACCATTCTCAAGTGTCAATTTTTCAAAATTGAGATTTATACATCATCTGAAAGCTGAATAAATAAGCTTTCCATTGATGCTTGGTTTGTTATGATAGGACAATATTTGGTCGAGATACAGCTATTTGAATATCTGGAATCTGAGGGTGCAAAAAAATCAAAATATTGAGAAAATCGCCTTTAAAGTTGTCCAAATGAAGTCCTTAGCAATGCATATTACTAATCAAAAATTAAGTTTTGATACATTTACGGTAGGAAATTTACAAAATATCTTCATGGAACATGATCTTTACTTAATATCCTAATGATTTTTGGCATAAAAGAAAAATCTATAATTTTGACACATACAATGTATTTTTGGCTATTGCTACAAATATACCCCAGCGACTTAAGACTGGTTTTGTGGTCCAGGGTCACATATAATCATTAAAAAAGTCACATAAAACCAATAATAATTGATTAAACCCATCCATCCATTTTTACACAACATATAATATACGATATAAACTATTGTATTTTATCACATTGCTTGACTTGACACAGTGCTCATCTTTTTACATTTTAACTTCTTAATGATGATTCACAGAACAGGTTTCCTGTGAGTGCAGTTCAGTTGAATTCAATATCATGCACTACAGTATGTTGTGTTGCTAAGCAACTATAAACAGCCTAGAGTTATGAAATATCAGCTTAGAGTCTAGCCAACCCTGCTTCTGGAGTGCTTCCTTTTTGTAGAGTTCATTTCCAGTCCTGCTCCAAAACACCTACCTGCAGTGTTTCACCCTCCTAAGCTTTTGAGAAAGAATCACACCTTGGTTGTTAGTGGCCATTTTTAAACAGAATCTTTGGTTAAGCAATCTTGAACACTTTGGTTAGCTGGTTCAATTGTGTTTGATTATGGTTAAAGCTAAACTCTACAAGAAGCTTTTTTTTTTTTTTAGCTCTCTATGAGCAGGACGTATCATTTGTTTTCTTAGTTTTCATTCGTATTCTTGTGTTTGCAGTGTTTGGTGTCTGTGGGCTTGGACTCTAAAAACACAATCTGTGTGTGGGACTGGAGACAGGGGAAAGTTCTGGCAGCTGCTCCTGGTCATACAGACCGGGTGAGCACACACACACACACACACACACACACACATACACATACACATACACATACACATACACATACACATACCATTAGAAATGGTAGACAGGCAGTGTAATGTTTCTTTTGTCCTCTAGTTTCAGTCAGAGTAACTCATATGTTACAATCACGTTACAAATACAAAACAGACAGCCATAAGCATGTTAGCAAGGAAGTGCTAGGATTCAGGGAGTCTGGGAATGCACTGAAATGAATTTCATTTGACATAAATTAACACTGGAACTAATGATGGTACATCCTTGGGGCCAAAACACATATTAGCACACACTTTCCCTGACTTTGTCTTCATTTTCTTTCCTGATATCTCTGGCTCTGTAACACTTACACATAAATAGTTCAAACATTAGATAGCATTTCCTTATAAAATTACAGAAGTAATTTCGGCAATCTCCTGAGGACTTGTTTTCTCTGACTACTCAACAAACCTCTGGTTGTCTTGCATGTGTGTTGTAACCACAGATTGTCTTGCTGCCTTCAACTCATATCAATTACAGTATGAAATAGGTGCACCTGAACACTCGCACAATGTCATAAGTACCAAAGAGAAACAAGGTTTTCTTTGATCTCCAATATTCCGAGTTGTGGGCGTGTAATTACACAACCAGGGCAGAAAATTTTGCATGGGAATGATAAATTACATACTGTACACACTACTGTTTAAAATGTTTTACTGTTTTTGAATGATATCTCTTATAGCATTTATTTGAAATATAAATCTTTTGTAACATTAAACATGTTTTGCTGTCATGTTGATAAATTTAATGCATCCTTTCTGAATAAAAATATGAATTTATTTAAAAAAACGTACTTACTTCAAACTTCAGTAGTGTGTATAGAATCTATTATATCTCATTTGCACTGCATTTTAGTGTACTAGTTCTAAACAAGCTTCCTGTCCTTGGAAATGAAAAAGAGAAAAATGGTCCAAAATGTCCTTTTAATTCCAACCATGATATTGAAATTACAATATTTAAACAGGCTTGAAGGCAGCATATACTTCACTGAGTTCTGAAATACCTACATACATAATACTGTACTTTTCTTTCTTTGTTTCATAAAGATATTCGACATATCATGGGACCTGTATCAGCAAAGTAAGCTAGTGAGCTGTGGAGTCAAACATATCAAGGTACTGCCTTTTCTCTTTATATTCATTTTGCCTATTCCTATTTTCTTTTTGGCTTCAGATGGGTCTGTATTGAAATACATACTTGAAATACTGTACTTGTGAAAGTCAATGTAAATTACTGTTTGTAGTCCATTGTAGTTTCATTATTTATTTCGGAGTGAATTAAATCAGATATGCATACCAGAGTCCTCTAAAACATTTGCGAGGAAGTGGATTTGGAATAGATACCAGTTAACATTAAGAAATAGCCTTCATTTTAGAGGAAGAGCAGGTTAAAACACATAAAGCAATTTACAGCAACAACAATTGTTGAAAAAAATGACTGAAATTCATTTTTAACAATGAGATATCCAGAAACACAAATAGTGGTGATCATGAGTTTTGTGGGCATGTCCAATGGTGCAACAAATTTGTAAAATGTTTAACACAACTTCCAGTATTAGGAAAATTATTGAAGCTCACATGATCCTCGTCCTGCGTTATGCTGTAGTCAAGTGTCATAGTGATCAATGGCTGTAAAATTGAATCTATTAAAAAAGTATTTAAAAAAAAAAAAGGCAAAGATCTGAACCTTGATCTTGCACACTAAATGAAAACTTTGCTACCACAATAATGATTCTTATCATTAAAGAGTTATGTTAGTTCACACAATTTTTTACAAATTCTCCCATCATTTGTTCACTCTCATGTTGTTCCAAAACCATTTAAAGACTTTCATTCATCTTTGGAACGCAAATTAAGATATTTTTAATATTCTCCCATCATTTTTGTCCACCCATTGAAAGTCCACACAACCAAATTTTCAAGCTTCAAAAGGTTCATCGTAAAAGTAATCCATATGAATCAAGTGATTTAAAGGATTAGTTCACTTCCAGAATAAAAATGTCCTGATAATTTACTCACCCCCATGTCATCCAAGATGTTCATATCTTTCTTCCTCAGTCAAAAAGAAATTAGGTTTTTAAGGAAAACATTCCAGGATTTTTCTCCATATAGTGGACTTCAACAGGGACCAACGGGTTGAAGGTCCAAATTGCAGTTTCAATGCAGCTTCAAAGGGCTCTACATGATCCCAGCCGAGGTATAAGCAGAGTCTTAAAAGTCTTAAGAGTCTTTTTTTCTAAAAAAAAAAAAAAAAAGTATATACTTTTTAAATACAAATGTTTCTCTTGCACTAGCTCTGTGATGCGCATCCACAACTTCATGCATTACGTAGTCACGTTGGAAAGGTCACAGGTGACGTAGGCGGAAGTACCGACCCAGTGTTTACAAAGCAAACGTGCAAAATCAAATGGCCTTTACAAAAAAGGTCAAACAATGAAAACAATGATGTTGGACGATTTTGAAGTTGGAGGAGAAAATCAGATGGAGTTCGGTACTACTTGCGTGTGACTTTTCCAACGTGATTACGTAATGCGTGAAGTCGCACATGCGCATCACAGAGTTAGTGCAAGACGAGCATTTGTGGTTAAAGAATATATACATTTTTACTTTTTTTTTTTTTGTGAAAATGACTGATCTTTTTGCTAGATAAGTGAAACTGCAATTTGGACCTTCTACCTGGTGAATCCCATTGAAGTCCACTATATGGAGAAAAATCCTGGAATGTTTTCCTCAAAAACCTTAAAGGGTTAGTTCACCCAAAAATGAAAATTAGCTTGTTTTACTTACCCTCGAAGGTGTATATGACTTTCTTCTTTCAGACGAATCTCACTTCCGCTGACTGTCATACAATAAAGCAGTTCCGGCGGATGACGTAAGACGCGCGGTGTTGCGTGATTAGTGACGGATGCGGAGAGAGAAAACAAAACAAAACAAAACGCCGGTCACAAATTAGAAGTACAAACCGAAAATTCTGGAAGTGAACTAATCATTTAAGTCTCCTGAAGAGACACAATCGATTTATATGATGAGCAGATTTAATTTGAGCTTTTATTCACATATAAACACTGGTCAAAACACATACAACACGTCAAATATTGTTTTTTTTTGCACTTCAAGCAAGCATGGTTGAGCATGGTTACCATAATCTGTGTGCCTTATGTTTGTGTGTTGATTCATATGGATTACTTTTATGAACTTTTTGATGCAGTGCATTCTGTAATTGCCTTCTACAAGAATTTGACTATACAAAAATATCTGAATTTTTTAAGTTTCCTCATTAAATAAGTAAAATATCGCATAATACACACACCTTACATTATAACCCAGTGTCATCCCTATAATTAGAGTCTCTTTCTCTCTCGTCAGTTACCATTAAGCTTTGGCTTTAGGTTCCTGTCATGAAGTAATCCACAATCCTCATGGGCTATACCTTTTAATCTTTATTTCGTTCTCTCTCTTTCTCTTTATTTCCCTCTCACAACTCTTTCCTCAGATCACTGTGCATCCCCTATATCTCTTGCTGTGTCAGTATTTTTCTCTTAGTATATCCCCCATTCTCTCATATAAGCCACCTCTCCATGTAGTTAGGACGGTGTAGCAGTTGTCTCACATAATTCCTGAGTCTTTACCCCCTCAACCATGTGACATCTGCTCCCCGGGTCCGTGCTCACTCAGCGATTATGCACTCAATGCATGCCAGAGATTTAGCTCACTGTAATCCCCCCTTTTCTCTCTATCTCTATTTGAGAGAGCCCCAGAGAAACTGAAAATCTCTGGCGCCAGATGAAAAGCTACATTTTGTGTGGTTCTTACATTTTTTCAAGGCTCGTTAAAGATGGTGCTTCATTTATAAAAATTGACATACTCTACATATTACACACATGAGCATATTAACTGAAATTAAACCTCATACGTGACTAATTTGGAACGCTCTACCAGCCCTGACACACATGGTGCTCTATGAGATCAGGCATAAACAGAACTGAACACACCTAAAAATAAATGATCGACTTCAAATTAGATTCAGACAATAAAACGGTTTTAAATTAATAAAATAAAATTAAGCTATGAAAAAAAAATCAATGATCTCAAATATATGTTTGCTGCAGAGGTGTGAATGTCAGTAATGAGTGATAAAGGTGTCTACCACTAGTCTTGGAAAATTTTTATTAAAACAAAATTGCAAATGTATTATCATTGGATACATTTTTGTTGCTAGAATGCTTTTGTATTTTGTGCTACACTATGTCTTTTACAAAAAAGATATTTAGAGGGGGAGTACACATTTAGTATACTTTTTATGTACTTAATATACTAAACAAAGTTACTTCTAAGTATACTTGGCTTATACTGATACTAAGTGTATTTGGCCAGTAGCACTTTATTTTACAGTCCTGTTCCGCATGTACATACTATATACTTATTATAGCAATTACAATAATTGGGTAATAACTAGGTAACAAGCCTGAACCTACCCCTAAACCTAACGTTAACCTATGTATAGTTACCATATACTACCCAGTACTTTCTTGGGTAAGTACACTGTAAGTACATATACTGTAAAATAAAGTGTAACCATTTGACCTGTACTTGGAGTACAGTATGAGTTACTTTTAAAAACAGTCTACTTAAAAACATTAAAAACAAGTTTATTAAGTATAAATAGGAACCTGTAGTGTCCTCAAAGTGCAAAAATAAATAGTAAACTGTAAGATAAAATTTGAGCTGTAAAAATACCTTACAGGTATACATAATGATCTTTAAAAAAGCATCATATGACCCCTTTAAATTAACTTAAAGAAAACCTATAGGTATACGTGCAGTTATAGTTTATTTGAAAGTATGCTTTCATAAACTAAAAAGTGGGCTAGACATATATAGCTAGCAAACTAACAGTATACCTGTGTAGTACTTTGATTTTGGTATACTTACAGTATTCTTGGAAAATATATTTAAACCTAAATTAATGTGAAGTATAGATTCAGTTAACAATTCATGCCAATGGAGTTCGATATTAGCATGTTGATATGCTAACAGTGTGAAACTCCAAGAAAAAGTACTGTACAAAGTATAGAAATACTGGGAAAAACATTTAAAACTAAAATTGAATAAATTATGTATTTATAATCAATATTTCTGTCAATTGCTAAATCTCAAACTGTTGAACAAATGCTCTTTGTGAATGTTTGTTGGAGGTATGGTTTCAGGAAACACAAAATCGTTCAAGGTAGGGTAAGCGATTTCAGAGAAGCTAGCAATATAGCAAGCTTAACTTAGTGATTGTTATCGAGATGTGAAGAGACTTTCAACCTGTATAACAAAAATATTTTTGAACCAAATCACCTATCCTGCCTTTAAACTATATTGGTAACAATGAAACTTGTGATTGTTTAATAAATTGGCTAACACTGCTTTCGGGAAACTCATGCCTGTTTAAATGTTTCATTGAAAAGACTCAAATGAAGGATTTATGCGTGAATCAAACATTGCAGGTTCTGATTCTAAACATGGATTTATAAATAAAATATTACTGAGGCACAGCAAAATTTTACACTCTCAGAAATAAAGGTACAAAGCTGTCACTGGGATGGCAAAGGTATTAATAGGTACTAATATGTACCCTTTGGGGTAAATAAGGTACAAATGTGTACCTTTTGAAAGGGTATTGCACCAGTGACAGATTTTATACCTTTTTTTTTCCTGAGAGTTTACTGCGAACATTAAAAATAATCTAGTGACATCTGGTGACAGGATATTTAAAATGTTTATTGTTGCACAATACTTACTACTACTACAGTGTATACTGTGTGGTTTTCAGTAAATGGAAACTTGTATTCCATTCCGACAATAGCCATCGGTCCTGCTTGTGTGCTAGCTTTTGACAAATTTCCTGAGGTTTTTGTCCGGACCCTCCAGGCTGTTCTCAATCCACTTAACTGCATGCAAGTCTCATGATGAACCCGTGTGTTTGACTGGAGCAAACTGAAGCAGTCTCCTCCAAGAATTCCACTCACTGCCTCCCACCACACACAACATAATCACATCTTCACCCACAGGGCCCAAGTAAACCACCATATTTACAACATGGCCATCACAACAGTGGTTTAGAAATCAGATATGTGACAGGAGCCACACACCACACAATTAGATGTAACTAGATTAAGGTGTAGTGGGCCACCCTGGACTAATTATCCTTTTCCTTCTCGCAGTATGCTAATTATAGCGGTCTTGGTGACTTTAAGGCTGTTTGATTAGTCTATGTGCTGGATTCGGGGTGGCTTGCACACACGAGCAGGAGGCGGCTGTCCCCGTAGAGCAGAAAGACGGGGGGAGGACATGCCTCAGGATGAAGGCAGTCTGCCTCTAATGGAGTCTTAGCAGATGAATAGCACTGACTCATTTTGATTATATTAAAGCTTTATTAGAGCACAGACCTGCAGAAACACAGGAGCCTGTGATTCACCATGCCTCTGAATCTCCCTGACGTAATGCAGCCTGGTTGTCTGGAACTGTACCGACTACCCCAGTGCAAGGTTGCTAATGGGCCAGCGACTGCTTTTTCATCTTTTCATTCTCTTTCAGCCAGCTTTTTGCCAGATGCCCTGGCTTTCATGAAAAAAATCCTGAGTAAAAAAACAAAACAAAAAACTGGCAGCTGTGATTACCATAAATTCCCCATAAAAATGCAGTAACAAAGCTTTTTGAGGTACACATTAGGGTCTATGTAATTAATATTTCATTTAAGTTCATAGCTGTGTATTTTAAAAGTACACTTTGAAATAATGTTTCCACCAGTAAAAAAAATAAAATAAATAAAACTAAAAAAAGGTAATTGCAACTTTTTATCTCACAATTCAGATATTTTTCTCACTATTTCTGAGAACAAAACGTCATAACTGCGGAATGTAAACTTGCAAATCCGATATGTGACAGGAGCCGCACACCACGCAATTAGATCTAACTAGATTAACGTGTAGTGGGCCACCCTGGACTAATTATCCTTTTCCTTCTCGCAGTATGCTAATTATAGCGGTCTTGGTGACTTTAAGGCTGTTTGATTAGTCTATGTGCTGGATTCGGGGTGGCTTGCACACACGAGCAGGAGGCGGCTGTCCCCGTAGAGCAGAAAGACGGGGGGAGGACATGCCTCAGGATGAAGGCAGTCTGCCTCTAATGGAGTCTTAGCAGATGAATAGCACTGACTCATTTTGATTATATTAAAGCTTTATTAGAGCACAGACCTGCAGAAACACAGGAGCCTGTGATTCACCATGCCTCTGAATCTCCCTGACGTAATGCAGCCTGGTTGTCTGGAACTGTACCGACTACCCCAGTGCAAGGTTGCTAATGGGCCAGCGACTGCTTTTTCATCTTTTCATTCTCTTTCAGCCAGCTTTTTTCCAGATGCCCTGGCTTTCATGAAAAAAATCCTGAGTAAAAAAACAAAACAAAAAACTGGCAGCTGTGATTACCATAAATTCCCCATAAAAATGCAGTAACAAAGCTTTTTGAGGTACACATTAGGGTCTATGTAATTAATATTTCATTTAAGTTCATAGCTGTGTATTTTAAAAGTACACTTTGAAATAATGTTTCCACCAGTAAAAAAAATAAAAAATAAAAAATAAAAAAAGGTAATTGCAACTTTTTATCTCACAATTCAGATATTTTTCTCACTATTTCTGAGAAAAAAACATCATAACTGCGGAATGTAAACTTGCAATTGTAAGAAAAAAGTCAGGACCGTGTGATTTTGTGGCACCGATAGCCTCGTTGGCAGTGTGCCGATATATGGCGTAGTTGCACTTTGGGTGTCCCGAGTTCAAATCCCGCCTCATGGACCTTTCCCGATCCCATCCCTCTCTCCCTCCCACTTGCTTCCTGTCAGATCTCCACTGTCCTATCAAGAAAAACATGCACACAAAAAAAATTTGAGATTAACTTGCATTTAAGAAAAACGTCAGAATTGCATGATATAAACTCACTATTTCATGTTATAAAGTCAGAATTGAAATAGAAACATGAAATTCTGAGAAATAAATTCAGAATTGCGAAACTTTTTTCCCGCTTTAGAATTAGACTTTATAACTCGCAAATCGCAAAAAAAGTCAGAATTGTGTGATAATACACTAGCAATTTTTTGTACAGATTTGTATGTTTAGAGTATCTCACAATTGTGAGTTTATATCACACAATTCTGACTTTATAACTCTCAATTGCACATTTGTTTTTATATTATATATGAAGTCAGAATTGTGAGATGTAAACTTGCAATTGCAAGGATAAAGTCAGAATTGTGAGATACAAAGTCGCAATTACTTTGTTTTATTTTTTATTTAGTGGTGGAAACGGGCTTCCATAGTTATTTAATATTACATTTAAAGTTAATGTATTTCAGACGTACTAAATTGCAACTTTATTACAAATGTAGAATTATTAATATTTAAATACATTACATACAAGTTCCATAAATTACATTAAAGTGCATTTTAGTTTAGAATAAATTCTATTTAAAAAAAAAACAAAAAAAAAAAAAAAAAACCTTCTGGCAGTACACTTGAACTATATTTCAAAGACAAAAGTAATTATAAAATGACAAAGATGTACCCAAGTCCAACTCATGTGGTCCCAAAAAGCACTCTAAAGTTTAGCTAATTGCATTTAATATGAATTTAAAATATAATACATTTACAATTAACATGCAATTAAGAGCCCGAAAACATTACATTTAGTTTGCACTTAAGTGTTGTTACACTTTCTCCAAGGAAGGCGACGAAGATAATCCACAAAATGTCTTTAATTATAATCCACACAAATACAGGGAAGGCAATAACTCTGGGTAGCAGAAACACATGCAACACGAAACAATTACCTACAGTAAACTGAACAGAAAGGAGACTTTAAATAGGGCAGCTGACGAGGGGCAAACAGGTGATGGGAGTTAACTAATAATGACTAACGAGCAAATTAACTCAAGAGCTAAACTGAACAGGAACAAAACCATATAAGAAAAAACAGGAACAGGCTGAAGTAACAGAAAAAGACAACACTAAAGTTCATACTCCTAACAAGTGTATTCTTTTAGTGTATTTTTTCCATAATAAGCATTCTTCTCAAAAGGATTGCTTATTTTTAACAAAAAATGACTATATTCTATGTATTCATACAGTGTGCTTTATTATTATTTATTATTATCATTTTTCATTTAATTTAAAATGACATTTCCTGTTCCATGAAAGGAACTTAGTTATATTGATTTGGAACATCATGACTAAATATATAATGACATAATTTTCAGTTTTGGGTGAACTATTCACAATGAGTGTAAAGAACCTAAATATTTAATATCAAATGTTATCACATTGGCAATATACAATTCAGAAATCTATATCTTGTCTTTGACAGCTCAGGTTTTCTTACAGGAGGCTGCTGAGGACAAGGTTGAAATAGATGAAATAGAGCCTCATGAAATAGAGCTCCGAGGAGACACACACGCATACTAGCATTTGTGGTTTACGGGGACTCTCCATAGGCGTAATGGTTTTTATACTGTACAAACTGTATTTTCTATCGCCCTACACCAACCCTGCTCCTAAACCTACCCCTCACAGAAAACTACTGGCAATTTTTGAATTTCATAAAACACCGTTTTGTATGCTTTTTAAACTTGTTTTACGGGGACACAGGAAGTGTCCTCATAAACCATGTTTATGTTGTAGTACCCATGTCATTATATACATTTGCGTCCTCATAAACCATATATACCTGTATATACACACACACACACAGCTGAATCAGAGTCAATGAGCCAATTATTATGCGCTGGCTGTGGGAGCTTTCTGCGTTTGTTCTGAACTAAGATCATGCCTGTGCATTTTAATGATGTGTTTAACGAGTGTTAGCATTAGTATGTTTGTGAGCTTGCGTGTGTGAGTGTTCTCAACGATTGCAAGGAAATTTATCGAGCTTGTGAACAGAAGTGCACCTTTATGTATGCTGCTGTGCTTTCGCAATATTAAGCTGTCACACAATTTATTCAGTAAGGCCTTTCAATAGGCTATTTGCTATAATAAATTTAGCAGGAAACAGCAATTGTCAGGTATACAAATCTTTACATGATATATTACTGCGTGGTCACTGAATTCCTTAATAAATAAAAAAACCTTATGAATCATGTTTCAAACCTAAATTTTGTGTAACAGGAAGTACTACTATATTATTAGACCAAGGGCCAGATTTACTTAACAGGGCAAATTATCATTCTCATAAAAGCACAGATGAGAGTGAAAAGTTTTATTATTGATCTACTGACAATGCGCAAATTAAAGATCGTCACTAATGTTTGACTGCTTTTTTTAGTAAATTCTGACAGTAGTTTTATTTTTTTTTTACTGCCAAAAGAGGGTTTGCACTGGCGCAAGCTGTCAGTAAATCTGCCGCATGTATGTTTATGAAATTCACACGTTGTTGATTCATACTGACTCTCAATTGCCCTCAGTTTTGGAGTCTTTGTGGGAACGCTCTGACCCCTAAGCGTGGCATGTTTGGGAAGACTGGAGACCTTCAGACTATCCTCTGTCTGGCCTGTGCGAGAGACGAGATCACATATTCAGGTGCCTTGAACGGAGACATCTATGTCTGGAAGGGAATCAGTTTAATGCGGACAGTTCAAGGGGCTCACGGGGTAAGTGAGGGAACGTTTTCCACAGTGTCACTAGAATGACCTCTGTCCCGAGTCACATAGATATCTGCTTACAGTGATTTATAAATTGAGTTTGATCTATAAAATGGCTCGCCTAGCATAACAGTTTTGTGATGAATATTGAAAGATAATATGGCTTTATTACTCTGTGATCTATGCAAATATTGCTTTTGCCAATGTAATAATTAAAGGGGTCATGAACTTTTATTATTATGTACCAGTCTCTGAGGTCCCCTTATAATTGTTATCAAGATTTTTACATCAAAGAACATCATAATTTAAAAGTAATAGGCTATGTTCTGTCCTTGTTTTGATCCCCTCATCAGAACGCTCTGTTTGAATAGGGGTGGATTGTAGACTTGGAAGTTAACGCTCACTGCTGTGATTGGCTAACACTTGTGTATGTTTGACAGCCTACGTCCTTCACAGATGGACACTGCTGGGATTTAGGTTAAAAACACATAAATACTAAATATATCAAATGATCTGTAATAAAAGACAAAGCAATAGTGACCACGTAATAAAAACAGTTACCCACTCTTGTGTGGTGCGACATTACTGTCGGATCTAATATAGTCGGCACAGCATCGCCTTTAACTTTCAGTCTTTCTGAAAATCCTTCCATCGTTAGCTGTTATAAATTCACTGTAAACCACGGCTTCTTGGGACTTATTGCTTTAATTTATTTCGTGATGTGAACCCTTTAAGATCTGCACATCTTTTTCAACTTTATTTGACCCTTAGTGCCAGCACTGCAGTGAAAGTTTGAGACTTTCGATTCTCTAATTGCTTTCGTTGTCAGGGACGTTCAGCCTCTCAGAGCCTATGTGTGTGTGTGTGTAGTCTGGTATTTTCAGCATGAATGCATGTGAAGAAGGCTTTGCCACTGGAGGCAGGGATGGCTGCATCCGGTTATGGGACATGAACTTCAAACCCATCACCGTCATTGACCTCAGGGAAACAGACCAGGGATATAAGGGTGAGTCGCAAACTCCCAGAATGCATTACTCTACACTGACATTTATTTTGTTTAATCCATTAAGTTGCCACTTATCTTTTGTTGTTAAATACTCAGGATCCCACAATGCAAAAGTCTTTTGTCTCTAATGGAGCTGTATCTCTTTTCTTCTTTTACTTTTTTTTCCTCTGACTCATCAGTAGCTAGAGGTGAAAATTCAAGAGGTGCGTTGTAGTGGTCAGTGTTCTTTATGCAGGCTGTCCGCCCTGTGTTATATCCATAGCTCTTACCCCTGTTTGTCACCGATCCCAGATGTCTATATGTATTATCAAGCACCCAAGCACCCTCTCCATCCTTGACAGTCTACAGTGTACATCCTTCAATCAGTATGTTTCAGGATCATGTCTGTTTGCTTCCACAGTCTCCTTCATTTGCTTACTAAGTGTTTATGTGGTGGATCTGTGC